CAAAAATTAAACCAAATTAAATTAAAAGTGAAGAAATTATAATGAGCAGTCACACTTCGCAAGTAGTATTTAAAACAATGCCAAAAAATATTAACAAAAACTTTTGATCTAATATTTACAAAACCTTGCTCAATATTTATTAAAAATGTTATTTGGAGCACTTATGGAAGCAAAACCCACTAATAATGAAGCCGCTTGCTCTTTCTGGGGGCATGGTATATGCAAAATTCTGTACAGGAAGTCTTCCTACAAACAAAAGAAATTTGGTGTCCTAAAATTATGTAAAACGAAGCACAGCTATCAGGGGATTTCGTAAAAAGGTTGTACAAGCTCAGCTTTTCAGGATCAATAGGAATTCTCATTCCACATGTCTGTCCAAAGAAGTGCAGTAACTGATGGATAAAAACTTTATTCCAGCCTCCCGTCATCATGAAAATACTTGCTACTGATTGTGCTGCATGCAAACCCTTGAACAGCAGGATGGAAAAATTACCTGCAGTGTGAACTCTGATTTGGCACAGAAAGTTACAGCCATACAATTAACATCTAAAGAAAACTCCAATCCAGTCATCCACAGCATGACTACTGTGACAGTTGTCCTTCAGTTGTCCTGAAGTTTCTACACACACCTCTGTAAATTCATTATACACTCACCTACGTGAAGGTGTAGCCACTGAAAATCTACACCAGCAGAAGGCTGATCAAGAAGAATATAGCATGCAATCTCACTTGGAAGAAAAATTCTACTGAGAACGATGAAACATGTAACTAGAGCCTTAGAAATCATTTACAGTGCATTTAATGTTTGAAGGAAGAATATACTTGTTTGAAACATTTGCAACAATATTTTTACATATCAAAAACTGATTCGACAAATGAACATGTGAAGTTTAGAAGTGTCATGAAGCTACAATTTAAATTTATTGCTGCCAGATGGGAGGCAGTCATCACTGGAGATAGAGCACTGCTTTAGCTTATCACATGGGAAGCATTACGGGACCTAAACAAAGTCTGCAGACATAGAAGTTTTCTTTTAGGCAGCACAGTTTGATATGGTAGGGTACTACCTATTCTGACCTCCCTCTTCCAACCTTGTTAAAATAATTTAGGGAAACACAGTGCTTTACGGTGATACTGCAGGAGTTATAGATAATATTTGAAAGAAGCACACAAGAAAAACTACTGTATTACTTTTCTCTCTGTCTTTGTTTAATGCCAGTGGGTAAATAACCACTAAGATGGAACTATTCCCAAAAGCAGACTAATCTGATTTGTCTAAGGAAGTTTATGGATTTACGTTTTGGATGTTTATGTCAATTAAGCCTAACATAAGCCTTTTTATCAACTGCAACTATCCTTACAGCCCCTTATGCTCCCAAAGGGATTGAAAAGAAGGATAAAAACAACAAAAGACTACACTGAAAAAATAAACTTCTCTGTAGTAACTGATTAGGACATTTTCTCAAATAGTTATCTCTAATCTATACAATGCCATTGCTGTAAATTTCCTGTAAATACCCTTTTGAATGAGAAAATGAATCAAACCCTCACCAGGAGCATAGAAACAGCATGTCATCAGCATGGAAACACCTCAATCTATCAAGCTCCTCAACTACTTTGCTAATTACCAAAACAGAGGATTATGTATTGTTTGGTAACAAAGAAACCTTTAAAATCAAAAAAGCAAATTTAGTTATAAATATACCCAAGAACATATTTTCATGTTAGATAAAGCAGTTCTTCAAAGGTCACCAGAAAGGAAAAAAATCCCACTGAAGCTTTTGGTATATTCATATGTTGAATACATCCAAACAAGAAGAGACTCAAGATCTTAGATTTCTTCAATCATTTTCCTTTTATGCCTGTTCTCAAATCAAATACTGAAAACAAAGGTTTCTTAAATAGTAAGTGCTAACAATTAAGATTCTAACAATTATATTTCAAGTCAAATGACACAGTAAAATGTATTCACTTTATTTCCAGTATCAAGGGACAATTTCTATTTAAAACGTGCTCCTACAAGATGTTACTGTTAGTCATCTCCTTTTAATTGATAAAAGGACCAGGAGGTGCTATTTTTTGAGAAAGCTGATCTGTGAAATGGCTACAATTGGTATTAAGAGCCTCATAGCTTCAAGACAATCATTCTAGCTCACACCATTAGCATGGATTTTGGTGCATGTAAAAACTAGCATAAAAGTGAGCTTCTAACACCACTTCCTAAATAATGCAGTGAACTGTCTTGAGAACGCAAGAAATGCCATAGGAGACTGGAGCAACACAAGGAGTTTTCTGGAATCAGAAATGGTACATTCTCAGCAGGAGAACAAAAGGAGGAGGAATAGGATCATGCTTGAGGAAAAAACAGGATACTAATGGCATGGTTTAATGCTAACATATATGCAAACAACTGCAGCAAGACTAACCAGAGAAAAGGTCGAATCTGGTTTCCATACTACAACACTGGTACCCTGATCAATGAATACATGAAAATGTACTTAAAATCCAGGGATAAGTGCACAGAAAAACAAGAAATGCCCCCACTATCCAGCTGCATTCTTTAAAATATGTTGTGGAAAACACCTTGGACTGATGAATCTACCTTTAAACTAGTACTCATTGCAATGACTAAAGCAAAAAAAAATCAATCTGTTTGAACAGAAATAAAGTGCTCTACTTAATAGGGAGACCTATTTCTGAAAGTCAGTTCCCATAGTTACCATAAGCTGCATTTCAAAGGTTCAATGCTGACCTAAAGCGCTTTCTTCTAAATCTTTCATATAGGAAGATTTTTCAAAAGACTAGAAATACATGAGCTTCTAGCTTAATCTCTGAAATAACTTTACAGTAAAATTACTTTTAGTTACATCCTTAAATCAACCACAGTTTCTAGAGCTTGTGTTCACAGTTTTCCCCATCCCCACGTGGTCAACATACTAGAAACACCTTTTTACACAGAACTAATCACTCCCTGAAAATAACTTTATGTTAAAGAGAGAGCAAGGCTCCTGAATCCCCACTTGATTATTTCACTATTTGGTATCACAGTAAAAACCCCAAGCAGTATACAGAGGAACAGAAAATCAGAGTTGGAAACATAGATAACAAATGACACTCACATTAAGTTAACTGGCTGTTCCTTCTTCAAGTATCTACACTGCCAAGTGTCCTTCTAGCAATGAGCTGGCAGTTAATTTCCTACCTAAACAAATACTATGGTAATGATCAACCAGAAATTACCTGCATTTTTCCTGTTTTGTCTAGATCTGGCCAAAGATAATCAGCTTACAATTATGTTAAGTAGCTTGCTTAGCATTCTATTTATAAAACTGATTAGATGCTAAGCACTGTAGACAACAGTTTAACACTCTATTTTGATTATAGGAGCAGAGGCTGGGGGATGGAAACAGGAAGGGGGAGTGGGACTCAGGTGAGAAGGAAGACGACTCAAGACAACTTCTGAAAAGTTACTGTATTTTGGGGATCTATTGCTTTATGCACATCTTACATTTATGTGTTAGTTGTATAAACAGCACATACTTAGAATTTTGAAAATATTACTACTAAATATTCAATTATTTAAATAAGTCAGAAGACGTTCAGACATGCTGACTAGCATCAGCTTTCCTGGAGGGAATGGAAATAATGTTGCCCACACTTAGGAAAGAGTAAATCCAAGCTGCAGGGAAATCACAAGACCACTAATGAGGTTCTGAGGTTCGGTTACCTGAATAGGCTGACAAGCTAAAGGACTGTGGCATGAGAATCTGCTGGACGTGACAGACAACACCATGAGGTGTAGTTGGATTTCACAGGTAGCTAAAGGGAACTTGAATCAAAAATAGCCAAAGTTCACATATAACTGAAGGCAATGGGGAGTTTCTGGGACACAGAACTTGAATGCGAGCAATACAAAAGGTAACCATATCCTAACATTACAAAATTAAATAGACAGTAGCAGCAGAAATTTGAGATGTAGCAAGATCAAGATCAATGGGGAAAAAGTTATTAGGGCTGACCAACTGACAGAGCCCTGAACTTGATGAGTACATTCTAATCAGGACCACAGACCAAACCGGTTGTTCTGACCATACTACACAAGTCAAACTTTCTTCCACAATAACAAGAACTGGGGAGGCTGCCAGGTTGCTTCCCTTAGCTAACAGGAGAACAGACTGCTCAGATCAAACAACCCAGTTATCCCTATGTCAATGCCTGCAACTGCATCTACCCACATAGGTCCATCAAAGATAATCTTTGACCCATGGCTCCAATTTCACTCCTCATTTCCTCATCTATGTCACAAAATTAATACTACTTTTCTTTTCACTTTCTTCAATAAGGTTCTTTTTGTCACTTTTAGTGACAAAGCAAGAAAATAAATTTATTAAGCTCCTAACATTTATCTCTTGCTATGTTATCTTTTACAGAAACATGAAGTATAAACATAAGAGGTTCTGTGGTTGACTTTTCACACATGCTTTTCAAGTTGGACTTGAATTCTTAGTAGTAATGCCATATCTCTATGAATGGGAATGACAGATGAGTAAAAACTATCACATAGAGTGGAAAATATTTCTAGGATATGATAGAACTGAAAGGATGCCAGAGGAAAAATAAGTCACAAACTTCAAAGGTTACAATGGAGAAAAAAATATAAAAATCAGGGCAATGATTTAAAACAATCAACAATCCACCAGAGCTCATAATAGCTCACAGTATCCCTTACTCTGACTGTTTTCAGAGGATAATATGCACAACTTCATCTTAACAACAATGTAGCAATAATTTTCTAAATACACATGCTTGGTTCATCACCAAGTGTCAGAGCAAAACTCAATGGATTTATTACAAACTTGAAACTTCCTGTCAAAGATTATAGTTTCTTTAGAAGATGAAACAAAAAGGATTGTACTGTATACAAAACAAACAAACAGAAAAAAATCGCAGGAGGGTTACACTTTATGTTATACTGTATTTATAGCAATTGCTTTATTTACCTTTTTGTTTTCTTGTAATTTTCCAGCTGTAACGTCTGCACACATTTGTATCTTTCCAATTCACACTGTTCACATAGGTCCTCAAGACACAATAGGTGAGTCTCCATTTCTTCGAAGTTTGCCTCTAGACGGGCTAAATGAAATATTTATATGAGCACCAAACCGTATCAATAGATGTACAACCCACCCAAACAGAAATGGGAATTCATAGAGGTAACACTGTAATAATTACACATACATAAATGGCTCAGAAAGATAAACATATCTCATATCACGTAGTAAAGATGACAACAGCACCATTTTAAGTGAAATCTAGCTTAAGTGAAAGTGAAATCTTTGCAGTAAGATGCTGAATCACTTGCTGTATCTGCCCCAGCACATCACAGACCTGTGGTCTGTACTTGGTGAAAAGAAGCAGCCAGAATCTGTAACTTAATTTTGCTAGTCAAGCACAATTTTGCTGTCAGATTACCCCTTTCTGTATCATACCAGTCTGAGAAAGGAAGATGTACTGAACAAGACCAGTACCAACCTTAAATATTCAACTCAAGTAAAACATAATGCGAGAATTTTAACTCTAATATGACCTTGTGATAATCTAAACCACAGGCTCTAAAAAGTAACCAATAAAGATAGATTGATGGGCAAACCTCTATCCCACGTATGCTTAGAAAACATTTCAATCTTTTTCTAAGTTTTGACTCTGGACATTATGGATAAAGAGATCATGCCTATGAAAAGCCCTGAGAAATCTTACCTCATAGCTCACCATCTTCTGAACAGAAGTTTAGATCTCCTTAACTACTTTCTGAACTGAATTATCCTATGTGAAGCTTATATCAAAAATCTCTCCCCTTGTGGGTGACTAAATGCTGAGTTTCATTTCCCACATTGGGTTCCCTAAGTGGAAAAACTAATTTTCCAAAAGTCTAATGAACTAATCACTCCAGGATGGAGCTCTGTGAATGCAAGATTATTATCCACACTTTTGCCATGATTTCTCCCATACCAGAGGGAAAAAGGATAAATTATATTTACATGTTTATAAACAAACTAGCAAGCAAAGAGTAGATTGCAGAATCATACAATTGATTTTGAGCTGGAAGGGCACATCAAAGGCCATCTTGCACTGAACAGGGACAACTAGAGCTCAGTCAGGTTGCTCAGAGCCCCATCCAGCCCGACACTGTCTCCACAGACGGGACATCCAACACCCTTCTGGACAAACTGTTCCGGTGCTTCACTACCCTTGTTTGTTTGTTTCTTTCCTAATATTCAATCTAAATCTCCACTCTTTTAGTTTGAAACCATTTTCCCAATGTCCTGCCACAAGAGAATTTCCTAAAGATGGAATTTTGCAGTTTAGAGTTAGATGCGCTAATCTGAAACTAGATTGTCAATGCAAAGAACTATGCAGGTGAGGGAATGAAATAGCAGAAAATCTAAAGCAATCCTAGTTTTGGCAAATGGCTGTGCTCCTCCTGAAGACATTTCTGTCAAATCCCCAAATAATCTTTGGACTGTGCTGCTTGGAGCCTATTTTGGAACATACAAAATTTCAACTTCCTTGTCTATTACAATTAGAGATCGCTGTAACAGCTATGCCACTAGAACAGAAGAGTTCAAAGACTCCATAAACAAATTCACAAGCATGCATATTCATATGTGCAGCTCCAGTTACTTTCAAAGATGCAATGATGTTTTTTTATTGCTAACAAGAAAGTAAGGTAATGCCCCATGGCAGTCAGAAAAGGAAAAGTGATTCATGTAATCAGCAAAGATCATTTGAAAGAAAGCTACAGACAATTCATGTGGAAACAACTCTGAGGAAAAAAATGTTCCAGTTAGACAGATGATGATGTGGAACATGCACTGTTTATCACACTCAACTTCCTCTCTCAAAAAATCCAGCAATTATTCAAAGCATAATACCAGACAACCTTAATTACAATTGGTTCTCCCTTTTGCTTAAAATATGGACCTTTCTAAGTGCATTAAAAAACAAATGTTTAAATCACGCTAACTAAATACTAAAAGACAACTACAAACAACAAGAAAATATAATGATGGAAAGTGAATTCTAGAGGCCAGATCATTCCCAGCACTAGCATTTGAGCAGCCTCTAGTGGGAACAGCAGAAATTAGAGTGCACCTGAATAATGGGAACAACTTCAGAACTCTCCAGAACACAAGCTTGCTTTGCTGCAACATGGATTACAGATCTTCTCTTTCTGAAATGAAAGGCAATTCACTTGCTTTTCACAAGCAATGTTGCCAAAGCAATTGGATAGCACTAGCCATGGTTGTGAACTGACATCTCTTCTTGACTAAACTGACATCTCTTCTTCACTAAAAAGAAGTTTCAATCAAAGCTGTGTATTTAATTATCTAACAAAATTTAAGCCATGAAGGTCTGATCAGTTCTCATCTATATGCACAGATGAATAAGCTCATACTTTTTAGAAGGTATTTAGAAAAATACCTAATTTAAAAACTCCCTGCTTCCAGTTTATTGCTTGCAGTGGCAACTAGAACGAGCCTGCCCCAGAAAGTGGGCTAATCTTCTAAAGAATACTTCCATGACTACTGTGTTTTTCCTGCTCAAAATTTCAATTAAAAAAGTTGAAATCTGTATATATCAAGATAGGCTCCAAGCAGAACAGACAAACCACCATCTTTTTAGATGGGGCTGCAATTTAAACAGAAACAAGAAAACAGAAATTAAGCTTAAATAAGCTTATATAAACAGATCAGTCATGACATTTTAAAACTCAGAATACCACAGCAACAGAAACCCTCTGTATGCAGGACATTTAGCTCCAAGGATTTCTACTCGCTTTTCACAGGCAGCTCATACTCCAAGAAATCCCACAAGTGGTCATTAGGCACCAATGATCATTGCACTCTGAAACAGTGCTATGCAGGAGAAAAAAAACTCACTGGATCCTTAAATTAAGAATTTTCCTATATGCCAATATACTACACTTGGTAGAAATACAGTATTTTATTAGATACATGAAAAAGTAGACTTGTACTTTAGGTCACATCTGTCCAACTGCTTTAGTTTGGTCTGTATTTCTCATGCAACAGTGTTATTACAAGTTTACCTAGATCTAACTTTTTAAAAAAGAATCTTCTGATCAAACATTAACATACATGAGATTGAATTATCTTTCACCAATTTACACAGTCTTCTTTGCTTAACAGCCCACAACTTGTTAGGATACTTACCTAGATCTCAACAACTACAGAAAAAAATAAAATCTCAAAGATTAGGAAGCAGCAGCTTTTATCTCTGTGACTATATATCACTCTTTATTTCTTCCCACTCTTGCCAGTCTAAATATTCTCAACCTTCATTTGATCTGTTACCTATGTTCGAGACCAGCCTCTCTGAAATCAGCATCAATTTGATGCTTAACGTTTAGATGTTTGGTTAAAAAAAAGAAAATTGGATTTGAATCAACATTTGTTTACATTGATTTGTTGAAATCAGAACAGACATTAGAGCAAATGCCCCTGATAAAACACGAGGCATACTTTATATTAAGAAAAGTATGCCAAATATTGGCAAGCAGATATTTTCTACAATATCTCAAACTGTCTTAAATGATGAATCAGATGTTGGACTTTGAAAGGACAACTGCTCTTTTTGATTTTACAGGAGTACTTTTTTCTTCAAGGATTTCAACAACAGCCACAAGATCATATAAAGTACATTTATGTGAGCTTTTAATGGAAGACTGACTGATAATGAGAGTACCAAAATTGGGCTTATAAATAAAGTGCTAATAAAAAACATCTTGTTAAACAGAAAAAGCTGAAGAAACTGAACACAACTTAGACTATTTTACATAGGTCACAAAAAAAAGGCTATTTTCCTTTATCTGAAATTTATTTGACCAAAAGCAGCCAGCATTCCCTATCTAGTCTCAAAATGAAAGCATTAACAGATTTTTTAGAGACACAGAACTATTACATTCCTGAAATGATTAGCCAAAGTACATCTTTGATGCACAGACTAGGAAAGAGCAACTTATCATTCTATTTCATTTATTATTGTTGCTGTGTTTGTTTTTTTTTTTTTTAAATATAGTATTAATCATCTAATCACCTCTTAGAAGTGAATACTTGCTTTTTCTAAATATAAACTGTATCTCAGACTTAGATAAGAATAAAAACAGTGAGCAGAATATCACAGCAAAGTTGTGGTAAATCACTTTCAGAACTGCAGATGTTGAATTCGATACAAATTATACTTTTCAAGTAGACTCATGTATGGGAACTGCTGAGTCACGGCCTGAACCTCTGATTAATCACCTGAGGCGAGCAATAAGTCAGCCCTGGGAGCACAGGTGAAAGCAATTCACCTGTGCTGCAGGAAGGGGTGGAGCCTGGCTCCACCTCTCCTAGACCCATTTAAGAGCTGACTACCAGTGGGGAAGGATCTCTCTCTCTTTGGAAGATCCACTCCACTGGAGTTTCCTGAGTGAGCCCATGACATAGGTAAGCATCCTATTTATTCTCTTTGTCTCGCTGTGCCTGACTCTCTTGCTTATTTCATTATTATAACATCTTAATATTATTTGATTATATGGTATTCCTTTATATAATTTTCATTGATTACACGCTCTATTAAAAAATCAGAAAAAAATTACACTCAAAACAAAATATTCACAGTGGTCAGGAAGAATGAACTTAAGTGAATTACATGACATCTGACATGTGAAGTGAGGCTAGAAGATGTGGTTCAGATTTCATGACCTTAGTAGTGTATATCAAAATTAGCTTCTCAGAGCAGACTCCTTAATACTTCCACATCTGCTGATTAAGTAAAATAAAAAATTTTCTTAAGACATTGAGAATCCTCCAGCTAATTTTATAGTCAGGGTGCAATTAATTCTGGTTCATAAAACTGTAACATTAAGATTGGAAAGGTAACTCAAATTCATCAAAACTTATGGCATTTGCAGTTATGAAGAAATCTTTATTTTTATAAGGAAATTTCCATTAGGTTTTATTATATTATTTAACTTTGGCTACTAGTAGGCTGTATTACTTTATACATGATGATATTAAATTTATTTTTTAAATAAATCATTGTGGGAGTTGATATTTCCTTAGGAAATAAGAGACATTTTCAGAAAGCAAATATTACAGGGCTACTGCACATAAAAGCCTTGTGAAATCACATGGTACAGAATAATTGTAATAAAAAATGAAATACGTTCTTTGCTTCAAAAATAAATACAGTTCTTACAAGTCAAAGAACTACTACAGAACAAATGATCACTTAAAACAAATTAATAAATTGAATGAAACAGGCTCATACAGAACAAGCACTGATATTATTTATATGTTGTTCTGAATTTAAGACTTCAATAGTAATCATTTTCAACTGATCTTATCAAGACTTGCAGTTGCCATACAACCTTTTTCCCCCCCCAAATTATCTCATATACAATATTAAGAGCAACCAGGACAAATTTTGCTCCTTTACAAAACCAGTACAAAAACAATGTGTTTGAGGAGCTAAGTTAAATTTTACTATGAAGTTCATAACACTTGAACTTCTGTCTAAGCCTCAGTACTGACCTGAATGCTTGTTATGTCTACAAGACCTTACCTAGGCTTGCTGTAAGGCATTCCAGATCTGCTAAAAATCCAGGTATTTGCTGGAGCTGATCCTGTAGTTCTACCAGACTGTTCCTTTTCTTTTCCCAGTGTGCAGAGAGCATCACAACTTCACTGTCCACCAGCTGAAACAAACAGGTTCTTAGTTTTACTTCCAAGTTTACATACTTGTTTATGAGCACTTCGACCATTTTTTTTAATTCATACTTCCACAAGCATCAAGTCAGTATAAAAAATTTTACAGCACTACAACTTATATATTTCTCAATTTAGAATTTAGTTGCAGAAACTGAAAAAGTCTGAGAAATGGGCAAAGGAAGTTCTTAAAGAATTGTAACATCATTCTATGTACTTCAGAACAAATACCTTCAGAAGAATGATGATTTGTTTCCAAATACTTCCAACTACCCAGCCTGTCAAAAAGGCATCCTGTTTTACCAGACAAGGCTTGAAACATTATTTTAAAGCTCAGTGAGTAATCAAACGCTTCAAAAGACCGACATTCTTATTTTAAGTAAAGCTAGATCTGCTCTCTAATTTTTGAGAGTGAAATAAGGAATTCATATTAATTAAACGTTAAATCAGGCAAAAAAAAAAAAGACTACTTTGTATATGATGGCACAAGCACAAGAGATAATTACACATAACTAAGATTAAAAGCATCTAAAAGCAGCATTTTTGAAGTAATTTTGTAGATGGAAATGTAAATTTGCATCTATAGTTTAACATGGCAAGACTGCAGGCAGTAATTAAACCTTGAAATTTTCATGTTCCTTTCTCTTTTTAAGAGAGCTGTCAGATCTGTTTGCAATTGGCCACTACCAGAAACAGGCTACTGGACAGGTGGACCTTCAGGCCTGATACAATACAATGCAATCCCACGTGCTTAGACAATTCTGATGTTACTGAAGTCTGTATTTTCTACTTTCATAAAAGTGTATTCTAGATTCTCTCAAAATTAGATATCTGAACTTCACAGAAAACTTCCTAGTCTTTTTAGAAGCTCCTCATTTTAATTTTTCTAGCAGTCATAACTTGTGAGATTAAGTTTACACTGGTTTTTATATACATGGAAACTCACAATGTTTTTAGAATTTGCAAGTACTGCAGGATTGTATGAAACCTATTTAAGAGATCTCCTAAAAATAATGAGTAGCAAAACATACAAATGTGGCAGAGAAATTCATCCCTAGTATCTGAAGATCTTCACTAGAACTGATAGAAAAGGTGGGCATACTATTAAAGCAAGAGAAAGATGAAAATATCTTCTTACCCCAAAACAGCTTTTCAAATACATTAAGCAGTGAGAGATTTTATATATTGGAAGAAGACACAGAGAAGGCTCCTACAGAAACCAGAAGAATCAGGAAGGATGCAAAGTGAAGGTTGCTCACAGCTCAGTCCTGCTCTGCATCACACAGCTGACACTGTTTGCCCCTTCAGCAGGGTTCGAAATGAGAGGTCTGGTGGGGACCAGATCAATGCATAGATAGCACCTACTGTAGCTGCCTTTCTCTTTTTGCCACAGATAAACTACAGAACTCATTGCTTCACTTCCAGGAGAGAAGTAGTCAGAAGCAGGCACAGGAACTTTCTGAATCCTTTCAGCCAGACAAGTCAAATCTTGCCATTTCCTGCCCACAAGGAGGAGCAGCAGCAGTGTCACGGGAACAGCAACCTATCTCCTCACTAACCACCACCATGCCTCAACCCCAAACATATTCTGTACTTCCCAGCCTTATCAGTGCTTCTAATGAGCTACACAGTGGTAATATGCAACGTCATTTTTGCAGCTCTCTGCATCAAGACACATTATTTATTGCTTGCATTACATTATCGTTTACATTACCATTTATTGTAAATGTCTTAAGCAGTCTCAAATATTCCCAGATAACAAAATATTTCAGGTAACAGCAGAAGAGTACAGAAACTGCTGTCTGAACACCTGGATATGTCTTATTTTTACCATCACCTTCTTGCCACACTTCAACAAAGTAGTATTGCTCAGTATCTTTCTCTATGCCCCAGGAAAACAGTAAGTTAATGTAATTAATATTTATTGCTTAAGCACAGGTAGTGATTCTAACTGTCTGAACACAGAATGGAAAGTCAAGGTATTCTGGATGTCAGTGTATCAGCTGAAAAATACTTCAGTAGCACTAGGAAGTTGTACTCAGTACTTGCTACAACAACAGGAAAACCAGAAAGCAAACAGCAGGGAGCTTCAGAAAATTCTTACTGGATTATACCTTGTAAGAAACCTGATCACAGAGAATTGCTAGTTTTACAATACCTGTATTGAATACATCAGGAACGCTAATTGTTGCTGAGTAGCAACAATCTCAAAAAGCTTTCAAAACCAAGAACTGGATGCTGTGGTCCATTCATCAGTTGTTTGTCAAACATGACTTTAAAACCACAGAGAAAGAACGCTGCTCTCCCAAAGTAGCTGCTGCTTTGAGACTGGCTGGGCATTGGACTGCTTATGGAAGGTTATAAGTGACTGCTTTTGCATTACTTGTTTTATCCTTTCTCCTTCAGGTGTTAAACTGCTTTCATTTTGAACCATCCACTTTTGTTCGTTCTGTTCTCTCGCTGTCCCACTGAACAACGCTGTGGAGGTGCTCAGCTGGTGGCTAGAAACAGCTTAATGCTCTGGAACTAAAAAATTTAGTATATAGTTATATACACATGTAAGTATCTTAATAGTAATATTTCTGTTTTCTTACCTCTCCAGCTTTTGCACAATCTTTGGCTCCTTTATGAAGGGCAGCCCAAGCATCTTCATATCTGAAGAGAAGATAGATAAATGACTTTTTTTTTCAGCTATATCCTCTTTATAAATGACAAGGATTTATGGGTGCTGGTGTGCTTGTACTTACAGGGATTACAGAAATACAGTTTTGAAAGCTGTCGAATTGTCTTAGAACAGTAAATACCAGGAAGACATACACAGTAAGAAGCAATTCCTTTCAAAAAGGAATTAATCTGTGTATTTTTGTTTTGTAACTGCTAGCACATAATAAGATCTAAATAGACCCAGACTTACTTACGAAACTATGGGCTACAGGCTTAAGCAATACTTGGAGTTCAATTCCATTGAGAAAACGAAACAAACAAGCAAACAGGACTAATAATTTGTACCTCTTTCTCCCCAAAAAGTGAAGACAGACAGGTTTTCGAAGACACAAACAGAAAGAACTATTTACATTGTAAATATCCTCATTACTCAGAAAAGATGTGATGAAATACACATGGAAAACATTTTATTTTCATGGCAATGACAAGCATATTGTCTATAATTCCATTACAACAGAAGTAAATAATCAAATGTAAGAAAATTGTAAGACAGCAAATTTAAACTACAGGCTGGGCCTCACTGTTGCTATCCCTTCTCCTCATGCATTAGACCTGAAGTTATCTTTCAAATGCTTCTTTTCATACACTGCACCTAATTCACCAAAGTTACAGTACTTAAGAACTGTGCAAGCTTTAAATATATTTATTATCTACTAATTAACCCCACTCTCTTCATTGCAGAAGATCAAGAAAACTAACAGTAACACGAACATATTCATTTTCTTCTCATTTTCTTCACCCAGTGAAGTCAGTTGTGAAATAACAGGAAATAACACTAACAAAGAAATAGGAGCTCATACCTGCTCAGTAATTCCAGACCAGCAGAAAACTCTGGTGAATGCTGAGCAGTTCTGTAAGAAAAATATAAACGTACAAATGTTTAACAGAAGGCTGTTATACACTATGTAGGCATACACACAAATGTGCATTTGACAAATATGCTAAGCACAGGAATATTTGCTAGTGTTCACTTCCACATTTTGTCAATTCATGTGTAAAGTGCATGACACAGCATATGTTAAAGAATATTCCAAAGCTGCTCTTCCCCATTATTTTGTGGTAGTTCATTCTTAACTGTTCCTGACTATTTGATTTGAAAACTGCTCACATGAGACTATTTCTTGTATAATTGACAAGTATTCAGGGTGAGCACTGTTTTAAGTTATAATAGTGGACAGAAACATTCTAAAAATAAGACTACTATCAAGTTCTTATCCTAGTAAAAATTTTTTATTAATATATGCTACAATAAATAATAAGCTAAAAAATGTTTGGCAGCCTTGTGTACTATTGATTTCTTATTTGATGCATTCATTGCTAACTGCCTGAAACATGAAGGTAACGTACCATCAGGTAAAGAAAATTAATACAGCAGCATTTCTAAAGATGTATTATGTGAAGATCATGATGTCATCCAAGATTAGTCTCTTGGAAGATTATCAGAATAGGTAATTTTTCACTGTCATCCAAACAATTTGAATGGAAAACACAAATAACACAGATAAAATCTTTTTTTCCCTTACATCAAGGGAAAAATCACAGATTCAGCGAGGTGAACACAGACCTCACCAGTAGGTCTCTGGTTAAATCTCCTGCTCAGTGCAAGGCCAGCAATGGCATCAGACTAGCTTGCTCAGAGCTCTGTCCTCCTGCAGAAAACCTCTATTAGGTAGTCCTCCCATATAGTTTACATAGGTTGAAACAACATACTAAAGTGCAGAGGATAAAAACCAACCATGACTCCTAAAGGTTCTTGCAATAGAGATAGTACTTACATTTTCTGTGTTCAAGTTCTACATACATTTTGTGCAACAAATGGTTCATTTTTGTTTTTATACTAAAAAAAATTACAATTTTAGTACATGAAACTCACAGAGACTGTAGAAAATTACATCTCTGTTTACTGCAATCTGAATCTTCTGCAGAGTATTACAACCAAAAATTATCTACTTTTATTGATATGTAATAAAAGTACTATTAAGCCAAGTATATAATCAAAATGAGAATATTTTCTGTTACTAAAATAATATTCTGCAAAATTCAATATAAATATTTTTATAAATGGACTATAAGAGCCATTTTATATTTTTTTTAACAATAAATCCGGGTTTAATGCTATACATTAAGGTGCATAAGTACCTCTGTCTGCTTTTTTTTGCTTCTCTTGATTTGTCGCCCAAAGTCTTCAACCTATAAATCAAAACACGTAAGTATTAGACATTTCCAACGGGGAGCAACTTGTCTGAACACATAACACGTTAATTCCACTCTATTACATTTGATTTTATATCAGCTTATTTCAGAAATGAATCAAATTTCACTTGATTCTGCACAGACTGTGATATATAATTATTGCCACCTACACTGATTCTGAACAGTAAGATTTTTTCACAAATGCATTGAGTAACTGGGGACAAAAAAAAAAGTTTATCAGGAGTTACATATTCAAGTCATTCAGTTCTGGATACTACTTCCCTTAGAAAACAAGTATAAAAGATCTCTGCATACAAATAGCCAAGCCATGCTGAAGAATGCCTCCTATAAGATTCACATGTGCCATGGACAAGCATGACAGTCATACAGACATATTTGCACCCATTTGCCATAAGTCTGCCAACAGAAGAACAGTATGAGTACTTTTTATCTGCCAGCTACCACAGTGCACTGCTAACTAGACAAAAGTTAGGTTTGTTTCATCTGTGGCCAGTTTCAAAGTGACTGGTATTTCGCTTCTTTAAAATAAAATTTCTTGAAACAACAAAACCAAGAAAAAAATAAACAAGAACAGACATTCCCCCTTTCTGCCCTAATAAATAAAAAATACCAACAAACAAATAACAAAGAAAACAAAGCCCTCCACTACTACCACACAGCTCTTTGCCACTTTTATTTTCCAGACAACCTGTATGTGTTTGCTGGGCTATCACGAGAGAGTGTGGAACAAAAACCTGCTTGTTCTCTGCCCACCAAGATGATGGATGCCCTTTGGCATCCCAGCTGACTGAAACAACAAGAGATAGGAAGAAATAAAGGACACAAATAAGAGCAAAATGAAAGTGACCCATGAACTCCAAGGATCTGCTCTAGACACCACACAGAGACGCATGATTCTGAGCTACCCAGTTCCTGAGCAACACCCCTGATGCAAAGATAACCCAGCTGTATCTAGAATAAGTTCAACCACTCCCACAGTCTTCACCACCTTCAAGGAACTGATTGACTATCTAAAAGAAGACATATTAAGGCAGGTCTCCACTCTCTGCTTGAGAGCTGCTGTAACCTGGTGTAGGGAACCTGCTCCAGCAGGGGGTTGGACTCTATGATCTCCGGAGGTCCCTTCCAACCCCTACGAGTCTATGATTAACAGTCAACCAAGTAGCAACAAGCACAGCACCCTGAGGAACACTGTTCCAGAAGGCACTGCAATTTACCCTTCTCTCCAATCACATTCCCCAGTATGCACCTCTGCCTGTAAAAGCAGCACTCCGCTGCAGGCAGGGATTGAACAAAATGCTGGGTCACAATTGCCAGCTCTTTTATTAGGATACGTGTCATGCAGTCAGAAGTAAAGGTTAAAGGATGCATCTCCAGGCTTCATAACACTGACTTCCTTTCAGCAATGCTCTCAGTACGAAGTACAGGCAGTGTGAACCACAGCACTCAATCTGATAGAAGCATACAAATTGCTGCCTGAGCACAAAGACAGCTTGCCTCTCTCTTTTTTTTTTTTTTTTTCCTTCTTCTCCTGTAAAAGATTGCTTGCGGATAAATGGGTCAAAATCTAGACACCTCACTCACAGGAGACACAGACATAGACAACAGACACATCTGAGCAGGGGAATGAGAACTCATTTTTTTCCATACGTTGGCTAACAACTTCAAAGTGCTCCTTCTGCAAGCTACATGACCCCAGATTTGGTGTTTTTCAGCTGTAAATAAGTGCTCCCTTATTCATTTGGAACAGATACTCCCCTTAGAAGCCCTGGAAAAGATGGTACAGAAGATCCAACTGCTCCAACTGCATTCACATACAGTTAACAAGTCAGTCACTTTTACTGCTACTTCAGAGGGGGTACAGAATAATTCAAAACATGATGGCTTTGAGATTGCATCACCTGGCAAGGGAAATGGAGGTGCAAAGCAGGACAATTCACATGGGCTGCCCAGAGAGGTGGTGGAGTCACCAACCCTGGAGGTGTTCAAGGAACGTCTGGATGTTGTGTTGAGGAACATGGTTTAGCAAGAACATTGGTGATGGGTGAATGGTTGGACTGGATGATCCTGTGGGTCTTTTCCAACCAGATTCTATGATTCTGGTGGCAATATGGGAGAAAGACCAATGCTTTCCACATCCTCTGGCTACCAGGGCTCCAAGATGCACTTTATGGCAACAAAGATGCACTAAAAAAGGGGTCACCCTGAGAAAGACCATTAACGGAGCTCCTGAAACACAAAGATGGAAACGATAAAAGCTGCTCCCAAAGCGGAACAAAACAAGGCAACACAAGGAAGGAGGCAAATTAGAGAGCACGCAAAAAACATACTGACTCTCTGCAGTAACAGACACCAGACAAAGTTAAACGACCATCAGATCGTCTCCTCAGGTGAATGACGCCATTAATTAAAAAAATTGGGGGGGCGGGAGGTTGTGCAGCGTTTGGATGCTGCCAGGTTGGACCACAACAACACGGTGCCTACCCTACAAAGAGCTGTGAGGGAACACAGGGGCGGCATCTCGTCCTTTGTAACGCACACCGCTTCCACTCCTCCTGCGCTTCCCTCACGTGACAGCAACTCCCGTCTTTCAAGGAAAAGAGCAGCTTTTCAGCCTCCAGATCACAATTACGTTCATTCTGACCCGGAGGTCAGCCGCCTCATAAAACATTCAGGCTCGTCCATCGATCCCAGGCGTATCTTCGCCCTCTCTCCAGACAGCGGTCTCCTTCTCTCCTCCGCCCGCCGCTGCCTTCCCAGCCCCTCGGAGCCCCTTCCCCTCGGTTCCCGGCCCACCAGCGGCAGGCGGAAGGCAGCGCAGCCCCGGCCCCTCGCCCTTGCTGGAGGAGGGAAGGCCGCGGCCCCGCCTCCGCGCTCTCCTCCTCTTCCTCCGTCCCGCTCCCCCGCTCAGCACCCGGTCACCTGCTCTCCCCCCCCCGCATCCCGCTCGGCTCTCGCTACCCATCCCCTCCCGCCCCGCCGCCCCCCACGGCTCAGACGGCGCGACCCACCCCGACGTGAAGTCCTGCTGGACGCTCAACAGCCGCTCCCGCAGCGTCTCCAGCATCGTCCCGGCCTCCTCCCGTGGCGGCTGCCGGAGCGGGGCGGGCTGGAGGCGAGACGAGGCGGAGCCGCCCTCAGCCCCCACCCCCATCCCGCGACGCCTCTCTGCCGGCCCGCCTCCAGCGGAAGCCTGAGCTTCTGCATGCTGACATGGGGGAGGTGCGGGGCGGCTCGGGGGAGTTCTGTGCGGAGCGTTTAGATCTCTCGAGCTGCAGCTCGAGGTTTTGTAAAACGCGCAGTCAGCGCCTGAGTAGTTCCAGCCCCTCACCGTAACGTCACCGCCATCGGCGACGCTGTGGTAAGTGTGATCTCAGGGAATCCTCCTTTGTAACAAAGTTTTAAAAGCCTGGAAAGTGAAATTCTTGGGTGTCCCACAGGCTGCTGGGTGGATGATAGCTTGGCCGTGAGCCGGCAGTGTGACCTGGTGGCCCAGAAGGCAGATGGGGTGCATTAAAAATAACGTGGGCAGGAGGTCCAGGGAGGTGGTCCTTTCATTCTGCCCTGCTGAGGCCACATTTGGGCTCCCCAGTTCAAGGCAAGGAACTCCTAGGGAGAGTCTAGCAGACAGCCACAAATACAACTGGGTGCCTGGAGCATCTCTGTTACAAGGAAAGGCTGAGAGACCTGGGTCTGTTCAGCCTGGAGAAGAGGAGATTTAGGGAGGATCTCATCGATGCTCATAAATATCTGATGGTTGGCCGTTGAGTGGATGGGGCCAGGCCCTTTCCAGTGGTTTCCAGCAAAGGACAAGGAGCAAATGGCAAAATCCAACAATCATGAGGAAGAAATTCTTTACTGGGAGGGTTTCAAAGCACTGGAACAGGCTGCCCAGAGAGGTTGTGAAGTCTCTCTGGAGATATTCAAAACCTTCCTGAGCGCTTTCCTGTGTGAGCTGCTGTAGGGAAACTGCTTTAGCAGGGGGTTTGGGCTCAATGGTATCCAGACCATCCCTGGTTGGCAGGTCCCTTCCAACCCCTGTGATTCTGTGGTACTTTACATAGGTGTTAGTGATTCTTAAGAAGAATGAGAGACACCCCCCCACAACACACATGCACACAAAAACATAGGCCTCTATTTATTACGAATAGTAAATAACACAATTAAAGGTTTTCATTAAGCTTCTCAATATTGTATATTCAAATAACAGCTGTTTCCTGTGGTGTAATGAGTCCAAAGACAGCTTAGGAGGAATCAGATCATTTCAGAGCTACTGACAGTAAAATGGTCTCCACCATGTATGTTTTCAGCTAGTATTTGAAGACACAGAACTTAGATGAATCTTTTAATTCTTAAATTTTCACTGAATTGAAATCTATATTTAAGAATAAAATTGACTGGGATTTTCAAGTGAAAAACATTCTATTTATTAACCCATTAAATTTTGGTTAAAAGTTCAGAAATTTTCAGGCAGTGGAGAGCATTGAGGTAATTTCTTACAGGAAGAACGTATGCAGAGAGGGACTGTTGTGTGTGTCATTAGATACTGTATAGGTCATAATGGCTCTTAGGTACACTCAATCAAAATTGACACCATAATCCCTTTCATCCTCCACTTGTGTGCTGTTAGAGCAATGAGATCTGTAGATTGTTTCTGAAGTGGCTTGTTGAAAAGCAGTGTTGCTCTGTGGCCTGAATGCAAGGTGAGAGCTAAATATCTTTTAAGAGAAGGATGACTGGGTCAGTCACTACAAGTACTGGCATTTGTGTACCTTATCTTGAGGTCAGAAAGATTGCTTTCATGGCAGACAGCATATGAAGATCTGTAGCAAAGCATATGACATTTATATACTATTTTCATTTTGCTTAGGCCAACAACAAGGTTTGAAAGTGCAGACTTTCTCATTCCCTGCATAGTTCAGCCTTAATACTAAGAGGAGAAGGACTTGAATCAGCAAGTTTGATGTATTTGCAGACAGGAATTACAAATGCTGGCAGAAGCTCTGTGATCTAGTCTTAGGTAATATAAAAGTTGTGGGAATGTAAGTTTTCAGGAAACAGAGATTTTAATCCTTAATTTTCACCTTTCCTTTGAGAAAACACTTGAATTTCTTCAGTGTTGTATACTTTCAGTTTTGTTGTGAATTTTTCAACAGCTGTTGCTCTTTCAATTCACAGTAAATATTTCTAAACTCCTATGCTTCTTTTGCTGTTAAAAAGAAGCTATGCAGAAACTGCTGTCCTAGTGCAAGTTCATTGCCATTGGTGCCTAAAATTTGGGGAAAAAAAACGTGTCAACTTAGTTCCAACAGTCACGGTAATCCTAGAAATGCAAGAACAGAGGACACTTTTAAAAGCAGATGCTCAAAGGCAGTAAATTGTGTCCTATGTAGAGTTTGTTTTGCAGGTTCTTAGGAATATAAAATAAAGGAGTGTCTGCTAGCCTGCCACCTCTTCAAAGTTATCAGGTCCCATGCTTAACTTAATTTCTACTTTTTTTCTTTAAAGGTTGAGTAAGCCCAGTTCCTTTATTTCTCCTTGTAGTCACATTCTAAACTTCTTACTCATATTGCTATGTTCTGAACATTCTCCATTTAATCCAGAAAGTGAGGAGCTCTAGCATTCCCATCACCATTACATGAAATGGAATTGCATGGCTTCATTCTGAGCCCTGTATGAGATTACTTAATAATACAAATTAATTAACATACAAGAGCATTGAATTTCAAAAATTGTGTTCATATATCATGATGACTCTTCATTAGCTGGGCACATCGATTTTTTTTTCTTTTTTGGTCTTTTTTGATCCAAATACGTAACTTTCAATGCAATTCTGCATGAAATTAGTTTGAATTGAGTTTTATGCAGATAAAATTCATCCTAAATAACTTTTTAATATCAGTGAGCTGTTCTGTTAATTTAGTGATTATTTCACAAGTGATTATTTGATACTAAGACCCAAAATTTGAACATGATTTTGCTAGGTTATTCACTTGCATTCCTGGTACTAATACAGGTAAAACCTTGTGTAAGTATTCTGCATGGCTATACTGGTTTCTACAACAAAAGTATAAGCTTTCTGTGCTATGCTTTTATATAAGAACAGTGATGTAAGTGGGAAACAACAAATATGTAAAGCTAAAAGCAAAGAAATGCATTTGAATAGATAACCCAAGTGGGAATTGAGGGCTTTTTTTAGATTAGCAGCTCTCTGAGGCACAAGTAAGGCTGCATTTTTGTAACAGCTTAAGCAGACTAAAGTCAGCCCTATTTCTGCCTATGCATGATTCCACATTTTTCCAGGCCTTCTTGGTCCCTAGCTTTAGCTATCTGAAGGACATGAAGTCCTTCTGGTGGACAATCCAAAAAGCATTTTATGTAACTAACTTAAGTTAGTTACTAACTAACTTAATTATTAAGTCTGACTGTCAATTTAAACAGTTGCACTGTGAAGAACAGAGGTACAAATGTATCTTATATATGCTTTTCCACCTGTGAATCTTTGAATGCTGTCCTATTTGGTAAAGGTACAACATTGTTTGCACCTAATAGCCTATCATAAAATTGAATCCAAGTTCTTTTTCCCACATCAAAGCCTCATAACCATGCTTTGCACGCAGTTGTGAATGGTTCAAGGTCTCAAGGAGAAGTGGGGGCCAGCTGCTCTGTAAGGGACAGAAGTTGAGGGAAATCACTCAACCTGGATTCACACACACAGTGCCCAATTGAGGTGAACAGGTCAGTCCCAGAGATGGTAGTGAGATTCAGCCAAGAGTCCAGATCATTAGGAAACCTATGGTGATGGGAGTAGAGCTGAAATCAAGCCAGAAATTCAGTTCTCAGGTCGAGGTTATGCTTGGAAGTGGTAGCCAGGGTCACAATGCAGTGATCACCAAGCAGAGCTGTAGTGATAAGGCAAGTCTGTTCTTCACAGGTGGCTTTGTATGAGACATTTGGCTACTTTTTGCATCAAAGGTATGTAACAAAGAGCTAAGCTATGTTTAGTGAAATTGTATCAGGGTATGTGCTTATGAATATAGAGTAGTGCCATTCACATACTGTCCCACATACCCAAAACATTTGAGAGGGCATCTCTCACAGAAAGAACAGCTGTGGGACTTGATCTCCTGGTTTATAAAGCTTCAAAGACACGTTTTTAGATGTTAACATTTTCATGGACCACCTTTCTGACAGCATGAAAGAAGATAAATGTTTATTTTTATATTTAATTTTTTTTTTTCTATGGGATTTTTGAAGACTGGCTTGGTTGAGTGTAAAAGTTTGTGTGGTACCCCACACTAAGACAGTGATTAAAAAAGGCAGCCTGTAGCCATACATAGCTATGTAGATGTCGTGGGAAAACACATCCAGAAAGGAGTGACTATCTTCAGCATTGCTGCTCTTATCCTGAACTACACCCTGATTGAATCAGGTGACTTCATATTTTTTTATTCTTCTGTCATAGCTGCATTTAGTTGTGAAACTGGGTGCAAAATTTTTGCTGTCACCACATAACAGAACTTGAAAACTATGTAGAGTGCAGGATGGTCTGACTGCTGTCTTTCCTTTCCCTGCATCCTCTTTTCTTCCTTCACTTCATTCCTAGTCTTTTCTCTTTTTGCTATTTTAGTAGTCAACCAAGGCCATCACATCCTCAGTGCTGCTGTTGTCAGTGAGACAACTGAAGACCAAATGTTAACTGTGCTGCTGCTTGAAGCCTGCCAGATATGAGACTGAGTAATAAAATTGTGTGCTCTGACTGTTTTCCAACCAATGAGCTTTCAAGTGGGGACTGAAACTGTATGTTCTACTCTTTCTGATGTTTTCTGTCTTTTTTGTTTGTGTGTCTGCAGTAGGGAGTAGCATAGGGTTCAATGAACAATGACTTCAAACTACTGCCACTTATTTTGTCGCTTTCCAATACCATTGAAGTGATACTATTGCTGACATTATCTGAAAGATGACAGACAAGATTTTCTTCTATCAATATAATGGCTAATAGGAAGGATAATTCAAAAATGGCAACTTTATTGACTTTTTTTTTTATTTTTTTTTCTCTCAGCATCTTGAAAATTCTGCAGTTAAATTCTTAGAAGTTAAAACAACAGCTTTCTGTCAGAAAACATAGGTCAAAGCTTCTGAGGAGCACAGTTCAAATGAAGTGCTGATTTTGAGAAAAAGTATGTAGAGAAGCAGCCAGTTCCACTAGAGGGCATAGTTGTGTATAGAAAAACAAAATAGAACCATGACAGTGTTCATTTTCCTGGAAGTACGTTTATCTCAAGTGAGCAAAACATTACTGATACACTTTAAGTGCAGTTCTTAGATTATTTTGTCTCAAAAGGACACCTCAAAAACTCTACTGGTACAGATGGCATCAGTCTCAGTAGGTAGAAGCCACTTGGGTTTGATATAGTCATGGTGTTGCTTTCCTAAGCTCATTCCTCCTGCTTAGGCAAGAGAAAATTGCTGTTACTGCTTTGCTTGTACTTCCATGGACGATACAGATGATATTAAATATATATATATATATTAAAAAAAAAAAAATCAGACGAGACTTAGGACCTTCTGTCCTAGCAGAATACCGGGTTATGCTGTTTCCAATGACTTTTATATTGTCCCTTCTGTCGAAATGATGTAAGGGAATTGACTTAGTAACAAATGATTTCAAATGAAGCCATGATATTGTGTCTTTGGGAGGAGGACCTTTAGTCTTATATACAGCAGCTGTCTATATTGGATAGGTTTAGCCTGTTAATTAGAAGACACATTGTAGACTGCATAGCTTGTATAACTGGTCTTGTCCCTGCTGTCAAGGAATTTCAAAGGATGTGTTAAGAATGTCTGAATGCTGTACAATAACAGCAAAGTAGTATTAAGTAGTTATGTCTATGTCTGCTATTTTTTGTTGCTCCTGTGTATAATTCTACTTGGGTAGTCATAAGATTAGATGTTGCCCTAGGCTGTAAGGCGTAATTGCTTTGTCTGAGGAAAAGGTTGTATGTTCTCCTTCTCACTGCATTGCCAAGAAAATGCCAGTGTGACCACAGCTACACTTACAGATGTGTGTTTGGATGTGGGGGAGAGGACTTATGCAAAACTTTTGTCTTTCAGAGGTGTTCCAGGAGTGAAACTTCTTCTGTTGCTATATGCTGTGTCAGCACTGGGAGGCTCCACTGATTCTCTGTGCTGATGTAAGTGAAGCAGCAGAAACTGTTTACAGAGAGAAGACTACAAAAATGCTATGAAAGTGCTACAAGTGGATGGGATGTGTCATGAAACACAAGGGCATGTAAGTCATAAAATATCTATTTCCCCTGTGTTTACTGGTCTACTTTAGTTCTTCTGTATTACTTTCTATTTTCTATTAACATGACAAATTTTTGCTCCCCTGAATGTCAGAAGCTAAGTTGCAGGGAAGTAGAATGAGGCCCAGAGTGAGATGCTTGAAGGACAAGCATATTGTGTGTCAGCTTTATTGATCAGAGGCAATTAGCTCAGTGAAACCCAATTAGGACACAGTTTTAGTTTTATACACACAGACTTTAATCACTCATTATCCAAGTGAACTCTAAAGGGAATTACAGGAGACTAAGAGGATGAAATGGCTGTTCCTTTGCTGTTAATGGAGGAGTTTTCTAAGTTTGTATTTGGTTCTTAACTGCTGATTTCAATGATTTCATCTTACATTAAATCAGCTCTTGTTTTGGGGGATTTTTTTTCCCCATTAGCAGGATCTTAATCATCTGTCATACTTGCCTTTCTGGTGACAATTATCGCATGAGTTAATTTAATTTTTTAAATAATTCCTCCTCTTGTTTGCTTCTCTTGCTTAAGGCAATTTTTGTTGACACCTTCTGGCTGGCTGCTGAACATTTGGCTAATAGCTCTATGCAGTTGTCAACTTCATACTGTTTGAAATTGAATTCTCTTTCCCCAGTTTGTATGGGTCTGCTGTTTACTAGCCTATTATGCATGGAATCTAATCCACTTATGCTGTAAGAAGCTTGGATACAGAACTTTTTTTGTCACATTATGTTTTATTTATTGAGCATAATTTAGTTTGAATGAAATGAAATAGTCATAATGGTTCCTGTACTGTTGCAGAACTTTCTCATCACAGTGCATTTTGTCAGTTTGATTTATTTTATCTCTCTGTTTACAGTTGTTGTGACGATCGGAGTTGCTTTACTAGTTACAGCAAAAGTACCTCATCCTCCTGGAAAGCACTCCATATTTCAAATTACAAAGTCAACTTCGGGGTAGACCTGAGAAGTGTGTAGGCAAGTTTTGATTTAAAGTTGTGTCTGCTTTCTCTCTCTCTACCTCTCTGGTATATTTTTCATTTGGAAAGTAGCTGTCATTGCTGTATATCAAGATGCATTGCATAGACAGGGAAACATTGTTCATACAGAAAATCATTGGGATTGACAGTTATGTAGTTACAGAACTGTGTCTATTCTGCCACATCTGAAAATAAGAGCACTTCAGTGCCAAATTTAAGGCACTATGTCTAGTGATTCTAACATGTGCAACCCAGTATACAAAATGGAAAAACTGGATTGGAACTGTTAGTTGATGATATAATGCTCTGAGGTACACTATTCGCTTCTGTAGGATGTCTTCTTGGTTTGTACTTTCCAGGAACGAGAGAGAATGAGATTAACATTCTTTAGGCCAAATCTCTGACACAGAAAGCATGGGAGGCTGAAACAGCCGTAAGCAAAAGGTCTGCATTAAACTGAGAAAGAGAAAATAGTTTCCTGTTAGAGATGTGTATGAAATCTCACCTTATCTCAGTAGCACAGATATACACCATTTATAGCAGAGTAAGGGAACCGAATAAAGCTTAAAAATATTTTTGCTCTCAGAAGAACCCTCACTGTTAGTCACAACAACATTTCTAGCATACATATTTCTCAAAGATAGTTCCAGGCTTTCAAATTGATATCCTGCATCTTTCTTACTGAGAAAGGGCAATAAAATAAACCTATACAGTGTTTTCATCATTCCTTAAAACAAAGAATTTTACATCTTTCAGAAGTTCTTTCTGTGCTATGTATCAAGTGATGCTTTAAAAATTTTTCTTTTAATCATCATAACATTTAATCCCTTGTTCTCCAGAGTTTCATGCCATTTTTGCTTCATGCCTCCAACACTGATGTGATGGAGTTAAGAGTTTAAACAAACATTTATTGTTAAGATTTGGACTTCAGCATTATGATAGGACTATGAACTGCTCTCGGATCTTCAAACCAGAAACTTTTGTTTGAGTACAAGGATTGTTTGTACGTGTTTGTACAAACACGTTGTGTGTATTACCACTGTCTGTACATGGTAGCAACATTAAATGCTTCACTATTGAAAAGGAAGAAATTATATTTTACAGATATATTTCCATATGGTGTGTTCTTCTGAACACTAAGTTGAACATGAGCCAGCAATATGCCCTTGCTGCAAAATAGGCTAGAAGTATCCTGGACAATATTAGGGAGTCAGCCAGTCAAAGGAGGTAACTGCTCAGCCCTGGTGAAACCATCCCTGGATTATTGTGTCCAGTTCTGTGTTCCCTAAGTGAGAGACCTGAACATACTGGAGGGAGTCCATTGTAAGGCCACAAAAATGAATAATGGACAGGAGCATCTCTGCTATGAGAAAAGGCTGAGAGTAGAGACTATTTTACTTAAAGAAGGCTCAAGATAGGTCTTGTCATTGAATATGAATACCTGGAAGGAATGTGAAAATAATACAAGGTCTATGCAGGCAAGAGGCAATGGGTACAAACTGAAACACAGGAGATTCATCTGAACATCACTGGGAGGGTGACTGAGAATTGACAGAGGTTTCCCATTGAGGTTATGGAGTCTCCATCCTTGGAGATTTTCAAAACCCACCTGGCATGGGCCTGGACAAGCTGCTCTGGGTAGGCTTGTTTGCATAGGTTTTGGATCAGATGACCTCCACAAGTTCCTTCCAACCTCAACCATCCTGTGATTCTGTAACTGGTTATCATCTACGTAATGTTACTTGCTTAGAATACAGTACTGTATTTTCAGCTTATGTCCTTTTAGGACCTTATTTGTACTTCCTTTTTATGAATTTGCACAAGTTTTAGAAGTTGACTTCACTTCTGTGGCCTGTACACTAAAGGCACAAATCTTTGAAAAGAGAGAATGCCCCAGATTTTGTGTGTAAGACTGAGCTAAAACTGTGTTTTTTGATACTTACTGTAATATCACATAGTGGTATTTTTTAAATCAGGGACAACTGTGTTTTTTTGCAAAGTCTTCAGTCCGTAGGAGTAATTCATTAATTTCAGATTAGCTCATATGATATTGGGGTTCTGAGAATGTGTTCTAAATATCATTAAATGTTTATTTGTATAAATACAAACATACAAGATTTTACATATTCACCAATTACTGATGGAATTATTGTCATATATCTAGAATTCAGGTCTTGTCTAAGTTCTCAGCCCTAAATATTCATGTTAGTTCAAAGATTTATTTTAGCATGGGATTTCATGCTTTTTTGCCATAAAGATTCTGTCTAAGAAAAAAAGAATAATACAATACAAGTCATATTTTATGGATACATGTTATGCATGCATAACTACGTATAAATCATTGTAATGACTCTTTCCAATACTTGAACTTTTGCAGTGGCAGAGGAAAATCTTAGCTACTTTATACTGGAGACTGTATTTTATTTTTCACTAAACCTACTTGACTTTAAATAGACCATTCAGTGTCTTCAAATTTTAAGACAGGCTGGGAGGAAAAAAAAAAAAAAAACACAAAAAAACAAAACAATCCAGCTTTATTTATTACAGTTTAGTAATTCTATTGAGTTCATTTGATTTGAGTTTACGTGCATGTATTGAAGACTACTGTTGTCCATTCTGTCATTATCAGTACAAGAATGCATCATCCTCTTCAATTCAGTTTATTGCTTGAAAATGCTTTTAACAGCTCTCATTTCACATTTCATTTGCACTATAAAGCAGAAAAACTTGCTTTTCCTTCCATGCAGAAATGAAACACAGGTGCTCTTCTCTCTCCAGTAAAGTGCATCTGATTGTAAATAAATCATCACTTAAATAAATTTAGGCTAAAAGGCAGGAATCACTTGTTTTATCATATGAATGTATATTCTGCATAAGACATTCACACATTCCTTTATCCAAGGCAAAATCTGCAGTTTCAAGACACCAAAGTAAGTTTGTCTATGAACAGAGGAAGTAATTAAGTTCTTTAATGATTTCTACTCCCGCATTACTCAGTCCTTCCCATCTTCGGTACAAAAGTGCTTCTTCCAGCTCCTTCCCATGTCTTTTGCCAGTTTGGCTGAGAAAGTGGCAACATATGCTGTTGCTGGAATAAGTATGTGCTGATTGCCTGTTCGTTATACCCACACCCATTGGCCAGTTGGCTGAATTGCAACTGGCTTTTCCTTATTGATAGCACTAATTTTGGTCCATTTCTAGCAATAGAGTTTTCACAAAATGTGTAGGATTTTACTATTTTGAGCTGCTCACAGGACTCGCAGGTCAGGAAGGGAAGGTCAGGCAGAGAGTTGCGTAAGTCTCACTTCCCTGAGAAAACAAGTTTGAAATTAATGTCAACCTATACTCACATCTCAGAAAAAAAAGAGCTTGAAAGTCCATCACAGCTAATAAATAGATCAGAACTGTTAGATATTCTGGCTAAAATTATTCAGAAAACAGAGCAAGTGTTTATTTTCCATTGTCATTAGGAGAACCACTTGCCAAGCTTTGATGCTTATTGAAGTTAGTGTGATTATGTAAGTGTAATATAATGGAGCATGGCTTTTAAAAATTTATTACACTATTTTTTTTTTTTTCCATGATGAATTCTGATGCAGCAAAGCAAAATACTTAACTTATAAAATAACAGATCTACTTTTCCAAGGTATTTTGAAGTTGTGTAAGGTTAAAAGCAGGTATTGTATGGTCAGATCCACACATATACAGGCAAAGGCAGGTTCTTCCATTATCTTAACAAAACTCTTCTCATTAAGAAACACATTTTGGCCTGAAATGTCAAAGTAGTACACTTCATTTTTTTGTGACCAGCTTGCATCTAAAGTGCTTTTGCATACATAAGGCATTGCTATTCACTCAGTTCAGCATCTATGTTAAGTGATTCCGAGGTACTCCATTCTAGACATTACAGAAAGAATTATTGCCACCTCACTGACCTGGAAGACTAAAAGTTGCCAGTTTCACTCCTGTTAACTACCCTGGGGCAGGGGAACCATCTAGCAGAAACTTATCAGCCTGCAGAGTTTGACAGATGAACTAGGTTCCTGCTGAGAAATTTCAGTGAATAGATGCATTCTTCCATCAATTACATTCTATCAAATTGGCCTTTATCTTTTGAAACCAATTTCTCAAGAAATTTTCTGGACAGCTCCTGTAAACAAGAAAAAGTTTAATATTAATACCCTTTAATTTGCTTACTTCTAGCTGTGCCTTCTTTTAAGGAAGAAAGAAGAAATGAATGTATCGTTTGCTGCTTTTTAAAGACAGTAGGGCTTGGCTGAATTTTTTTCCATTTATCAACTATTCAAGTTACTTCACTTAAGGAACAGGATTCACAAACACTTCAAAAAAATTACCATCTGTATGCTGTAGCAATTATCTTTAGTATAACGAAACAGGACTTCTTGTTGGTAGTGGTAGAATTCCGCATTATCTTACCCTACTGTTGACACAGTCATTTGGTCACTTTTCCCCACCTTCCCAGTGAGAAGATGAAAGTAGGAGAAAAAAAGCAAAAACAAAAGTAAATCTCATGAGTTGAGGTAAAACTGTTTACTAAGAAAAGTATAACAGTTATGATTATATATATATGAATTAATGTATATAACAAGTGCAGTCAACACACCAGAGGGATGGGTTGCCATTCAGACTTGAGAAGTGGGTCTAAATGAACCTTATAAGGCTCCACAGATCCAAAATGCAAGGTTTTGCACCTGGGTCGAGGCAACATCCACTACAACTACAAGCTGGGGGATGAAAGGATTGAGTGCAGCCCTGCCAAAAAAGGGGTACTGATAGATGGCAAGCTGGACATGAGCCAGCAATGTGTCCTCGCAGCCCAGAAAGCCAGTCATTCCCTGGACTGTATCCAAAAAAGCATGGCCAGTAGGTTAAGGGAGTCTCCTGCTTCTCTATTCTGAGCTGATGATACCTCACCTGGAGTACTGCATCCAGATGTGGAGTCCTCAGTACAGCAGAGACATGGACCTGTTGGAACACATCCAAAGGAGAGACACAAAAGTGCTCCAAGGGGTGAAAAACCACTCCAATAAGGACAGGCTGAAAGAGCTGGGGCTGTTCAGCCTGGAGAAGAGAAGGCTGTGAGGTGACCTGATAGAGGCCTTTCAGTGTCTAAAGGGGAGCTCCAAGAAAGAAGGGAAAGAAGACTCTTTAGCAGGGGCTGTAGTTGGCAGAATAAGGGGAAATGGTTTAAATCTTAATGAGGGTGGATGTAGGTTAGATATAAGGAAAAAGTCTTTAACAGTGAGGGTGGTGAGGCACTGGTATAGGTTGCCCAGAGATGTGGTGGATGCCCAATCCCATGAGACTTTCAAGGTATGGCTGGATCAGGCCCTGGGCAACCTGATCTAGCTGTGCGTGTCCCTGTTCATTGTAGGGCATCTGGACTAGATGGCTTTTAAAGGTCCCTTCCAACTCTAAGGAATCTATGATACACAAGGAATTGCTCACCGCCTCCTGACCAGTGCCCAGCTAGCCCATGGAGCAGAGGAAGAGAGAGAGATGAACTCCCAACCCACCTCAAAATGCCTTCTGCATGATGTCATATGGTGTGGAATATTCCTTTGACCAGTTTAAGTCAGCTGTTCTTACTATGTTCCCTCTCAGCTTCTTGATCCCTTTGCTGAGAATGGCCTTGTCTCTTTACAACACTGCTTAGCAGGGAACTGTAAGCATCAGAGTGTTATCAACACTGTTTTTCTCCTAGAAACAAATAGATAGCATCATATCAGATACTCTTACGGAAAATCAATCCTAGCTGAAACTAAGACACTTAACTAAAAGAGACTTCTTTCACCAGAGCAAACACGATTTGAAGATATGGTGACATGCATAAATGAATGGAACTAAATTAACATATGTCTGGTGATTTATTGGATTAAATAAGTTTAATCCAACCCATTTCTGTGATGGGTTGACCATGATTAAGGTCTGAACTCCTACTCAGTCATATGCTTATTCCTTGGCAGGATGGGGAACAAAGATAAGAACAAGAAGATGAACAAGAAAGGTTGTGTGTTGAGATAAAGATGGGGCTTACTAATTATTGTTGAGGGCTAAACATACTCAGTGACAATGCTTATAATCATATCTATCAGTGCTATATATGTCATGGACAGTACTCTTTAACACTGTAACTGTGGAGGTAGTCACTTGGAACTTATTTAAGAGATTTCTCTGTTCCTGTTGTCCCTTCAACTGTGGATGAGGACTTTGCATGATCTTTTTCAAAAGTGGAACCCAGCCACAATCTGGTCAATTTGTAGACCTACCAGTTCAATTCTGATACACTGTAGATTTAAAACCATCTTGTTTGCCTCTACATGCATGATCCCATTATGGTCTGCACGAGTGGCATTCTCACTAAATCATTTATTTCAATGAAATTAGCAATAACAGAGGTGTTAGTGATTGTTTTTTGGGTTAGAAGAAATATTCTCTCCGGCATCTGAAACTAAGTGATTCCCTCTTTTGAATACTGTGCAATTTGTAATGCCTTCTTTTTTTTTTTTTTATCGAATTCATCTCTGTTAATAAGATCTATAATTATTAAGAAGGAAGGCATAACGAGATTGGCTGATTATAATGTAAGTAGTGTAGACAAGTACTTCTAATTCCCCAAAGGATTAATCTCTCTGATCGTGGTGCTAGCATGCTTTGGGCTGCTAGACTGCTGTTTTTAAACATCCTTATTTTAAAGGAATCGTATTTATGGAAGATTAAATCATTAGTTTGGAATGCTCAGAATCTTTTTGTTATAGCTGATGTTTGCTTTCTTTTTGTTATTAATTTCTTCCCTGAAGAAGCAACAGATAACCTGTGTGGAATGTCCATGAATTAGCTCCACTTCTGTGAGTGCAGTCTGTGCACCTAAACCTACAAATATTCAATAATGCAACCTCTATAGATTTGTTTCAATGTGATGATGTATTTGTATGAGAAAGGCATCGCTACATCACTTAATGTGATTGATGTAAATATTTCATCTATATCTTTGTTTCAATACGTGCAAAACGATACAGATCTTAAGTTTCTCTTAGGATTCTCAGAATGTGTCACAGATGCTTTGTGTTGAGGATTGGGATAAACAGCAGCATCCTGTGTTTTGGATGTTGTCCTCAGTCTGAACTGTGGGGAAGCTGCCAACCCACTTCTGTCACCCTGCTTCTCGAGGTAGATAATCCTTCCAAGTTCTCTTCCTGCCCATCTCCTTAGCAACATGCCTTCATTCAGACT